AGAGAGGTCCCGTATCTGACGAATGAGGCGGCAATTCGACTCGTAACTTTTGATCAATGTCGAGGAGCGTGAGCTGGCGCAATCTCAAAAATTACCGAGAGCGTGATCCTTGACGCGCTGTTGACGCAAGCACTACGCGCGATATAAATGAGCCAGCGTTCGACGTTTGTTTTTCTTAAGAGTTTTAAACTCGACAACATCAATGCGGTTCCTATCTGTGTTCGTCGCGTTTCGGGTACTTTTCAATCGCTCCACTTAAAGGAGCAAAAATATTTCTACTTGTTAATCTTCGCGTACGATATGGAATATTTCTTCTCGCGTCAAGTTCACCGACAGACACATCTTCTGTTAGTAAATAATATGTGTAAATAATATTTCTTCTTGTATACTTTTATATCACGTTTTCTTTTATCTCTTGTTTTCTCGAGCGTGATTAATCGACATCGGCTTCGTATTTTCTTTCTTTTGCTACACAATGCGGGAGTTATCTCGCGTTTACAATAATAAAAAAAGTAAACGAAACTATGTGCCTACAGAAGATGAATTTAATAAGTCGTGAAATATACGACTGTATATTGCGTAACGTATTTGTACACGCGTGTATGCGCGCATCCTCTCTGCTTCAATTGCAGAAACAGCGCGCCGACGAGCGTGTTTTGAAAAAAAATTTACTGAATCGCTTGTCATTCCGAACGAGTCAGAAGAAGTCGAGATAATCCACTCGTCTAAAAAAAAAAAAAAAAAAAAGAATTATAAAGAAGCTAACACGCTGCAGATAAAATCTTCGTATATATCACTCGAGTGGATATAAAACGCCAAAACATTCGCAGACTGTACGTACGTGTTTAACGCGTGTGAATGCTTACCGAGAATAAATTACGAACGACTGCTTATAAATTTGGATCGGAACTGGAGCGATAAGTAACACGCAACGTGTGAAAAATAAATCAAAACGCACATGTGGCTCATATACGCGTTTGCATAATGTTCATGCGTCGCGCGATCTCATGAGAGAACAGATTCTACCTCTTTCACGAAGACTTCCGATATGCTGATTCGTTTTATTTAACGTGCGTTTCACACACACACATACGATAGAAATCATACAAAAACCAGTTTTGTGAAAAATATCAAGAATTATGACGCTCGTAAATCAGTTCGACATATAGTTGTAAAACAACCGTGTAAAATAACATCTCAATGTAATTGTTTTCCAAATGTTTGTTTTTTCTTTTTTTTTTTCACATTTTGATACTCCACGTTCGAACTCGACGAGTTCTCGTGTGGGATTAGGCTACATTGTGATTAAGCGGAGAAGTGGTTTCGAACATGATTTGTCATCTCCACCTGATACATTACACAAAACGCTTTTCTCGTCTCTCGCCGCGAGCGCGTACCGAATACTATTCGACGACGCGTCGAACGTCCTAGCTGGCGCGATTGCTATGCGAGTTTCGACAGAAACCCGGAGAGAGAGAGAGAGAGAGAGAGAGAGACGGGATCCTTCTCGGAGGAATGCCGAGGGTGTCACGCGCAAAATGCGCGCTCGCGTGTACGCCATAATAACGACACTCGTGCTGCAAATTACGGACACCGCATGCCAATCCGACATGTATTCACCTTGCGAGCGCTTCCTCTCCTGCAGTTCGCATACGCGAAATGAAGACATCAGGGCCCCGGCTTGCTTGTATCTCTTTCTCTTTCTCTCTCCTCACACGTTGGCCGTTATTATAACGATGCCCTTTAAACTCCGCGCACGTGAGAGCGACCGCGCGCGTTTAATTTTAATGCGCGAGGATTGCGTATTGGTTTTTCCCCAAAATTTCTCGACAGCCGTATATCTTCCGCAACAAAGATCGCGATAGAAACCGCGTAAGAAATATTTCTAGAATCGAAGTTTGAAAATATTTTACACAATGTCATATTACATTCTTGTTTTTTAGACAATGTACTTAGCTAAATAATTTATCTTCGAAAAAAGAGAACTCTAAACTATTCCTAACTCCTATATATAGTAGAATGAGAGGTTCATCAGAGAGTCAAAATTTCGACTCGGGCACAGTCTCGATCGGCCTATCAACTCCGATTTCAATTGGAGTTGATAAAATACACGGTTCTTAAGTATCTTTGACCTATGTGTGGATGTAAAAAAGAAACAACAGAAACAGTCCTAATCTTTAGAGAGTTTGTACATTCCAAACTTATCTTTATTAGAGATAAAAATTTTTATCTCTAATAAAGATAATAGATTTTCTTTTTTACATCCACACATAGGTCAAAGACACTTAAGAACCGTGTATTTTATCAACTCCAATTGAAATCGGAGTTGATAGGCCGATCGAGACTGTGCCCGAGTCGAAATTTTGACTCTCTGATAAACCTCTCATTCTACTATATATAGGAGTTAGGAATAGTTTAGAGTTCTCTTTTTTCGAAGATAAATTATTTAGCTAAGTACATTGTCTAAAAAACAAGAATGTACTCGGATGTTTTCAATTTGTAAACAAAATATAGTTACATCAATAAGATGTTCGGTTTACCAAAATAGAAGAAAATTTCGAAAGTTTTGGATCTATTATTGCAATTGTTGTTTTAATTAACACGTTGATTGCTCGAATTGAGTAAAATTTCCGCGGGTCCCAAATTCGCGGTTCGCCACGCATTGTCGCGCTGGCAAATAAACTGCTGACAACACGGTTTGTTTGTTTTTCATTTGTCTCTCCAATACAATTAGAGTTTTTAGAGTAAACAAATACAATTGAAGTTTGTAAACAAATGAAGCCTCGACAATAAAGCCTCCGAATTCTCTTGTTGCTTCTCGTTTGCTTTCGAAAGCGAGTTATTTTCACAGCAGACATTGAACTTTGCGTTGCGAGTGTAGTTTTTCTTTCAGAGTGTAATATTACATATATAATTTTTTTACGCTTATAAATTACTCATAATCACTTGTATACAGTTTTGTATATTGTTATTATTAAAAATTAAATATCTTTGTTACGCTATTGAAAACGCGAATTATTTGTAAAATCCTGCTGATTGAGATGAATGAAACCGACCATTCATACATGGCTCCTGCGAAAACTTACCCGTCGCTTAAAATCGCGGGATAATCAACGTGTCAACGTATTCAGAAAAGACACGTGAGATTCAAGACATTGAAAATTGCACATTGACAGACGCATGCTCCGAGCCAGAGGCGGTTTTGCGCGGACTTACCATGACTGGTGCACGTGTGCGCCTGTGTGTCACCTAATGCTCGGGCTGTTGGTCGTCTAGCAGGAGCATATCCGCGAAGAAGAGAGCAATCGGAGCGGCGTCGGGAAGAAAACTTGAAACTCGCTGTCTTTCTCTTCTCTAGTGTTGTCGCACCCGCACACAGTCAGCACAGATCACACCATAATACGGTAAACACACAGAGAGAGAAAGAAAGAGAGAGAGGAAGAGAGAAAGAGAAAGAGAAACAGACAGAGATAGAAAGAGATGCGTGAAAACGCGTCTCCTTCACTTTTTCACACACACACACACAGACGCTTGGCGTCGAAACTTTTTCCACGCTTTTCCGAGTCTTTTTTTTCCCGACGATATATATTATCAGGACTAAGCAAGTTGTGTCAATGAAATTTTCGCGCGATTATTGGCATCGGTGGCTCTGACGAAAAGAAAAACCACCCGCCTTGATGAGACGCGCGTTCCCGGCGAGAGACGCTTCTTTTCCTTAAGGAAGACGGAAAAGGAAACGTGCGTGGAGCCGGCGCCTGCGTGTACAATACTGCCAGCCAAAGAAGGCACAGGCGACGGACGGATTTTCAACCTGGCGGACACTGACTGAGCCCACAACCGGCAGGTAGATGAGCCGTCGCCCCTCCACCCGGTCGCCAGCTTGGTGCCACACCACCACTGGTTCGCCGCTCACCGTGTGTTCACCATTCTCATTTCCTTCGCTTCACTTGCCTTTGCCGCGCCTTCTCCTTCCTTCGCTTCTTTCCACTCCTTTCGTCGTTACGTACACGCGTTTTCCCGCAGAGACGGCTTCACCATCTGGATGGAACTATAGATGATCGCATGCGTTATATATATATATAAAAAACCACATTATCCAGATTAAAATAAATAAAATCCAGATTGAGATAAAAAATTATTATTGTTTTCCGATGTCAAATTAGTCAAGACTAAGATTAGCCAATTAAGTTTACAGATATAAATTTAAACGCACGTGTGTCAAGAATCTCTCTTCTTTTTTAACAAATTTCTTTGCTGAAGAAATTTGTTTTCTTGAAAGTAACTCAATGCAAACACTTGTGTTGACAAAACATGTCAAAACATATTACAGGAGTCTTTACCTCGAATATAATCACCACACATTTACAGGGGCTCTTGCGGGCAGAAGGGCTTCGTATTAACTGCAAGAAGACTATAAAATTTTCTCCGGTATATAATAAGAGTTCACTATCTAAAGGTGCTTTCTTCTCTATTTCTCTCTCTCTCTTTCTCTTTCTCTGAAGCCCTTGTGCATACAATGACTCGTTCGATGAAGCCTTGCTATATATCAAAGTAGAAAAATATAATTTTGTGCTCAGGGCACCGTTAGCTTCAGCTCCGCCTCTGCTTCCCTTCCAATGGTCATATCGTGGCTTATTAAAGCTACAAGCGGCAGAATGTAGTCATCATGCCCTATCGGCGTTAACGAGATTATGTCCTGCATAATTATGCACCTTTCGGTGAGGGATTATGCGGTCATGCTATACACGACTGATATAGACGATAATTGCTTCACAGAATTCACGTAAGACGAGAGATAAGTTTGCAAGGTGCAAAGTGAAATATCGTTTGTATTACTCGTCACCGCGATGTATATAAATTTTGCGTAATTAATAATTTAATGAGTTTTAAATGATAATTCGCCGGATAAACAGTTCTGGTCGGTTGTTTTGGAAATGAAATAAATAATACTAAAACACTATTCCACGACGACGGGAGGAAAACAAAGGTTTTCTACACTATTGATAGCCATTATTGCAATTTTTGTGTATTTAACAATAGATATAATTTTATTGAAATCCTAATAAACAGGATTAATTCGATGCGATAATATGCATGTCATCTTCCTCATCTTCTTCCAGTTCTTCTTTTTCTTTTGTCGGTGCGTCAGTTGACAGATACTTTTCAAAATCAATTTTGAACAATTCATGTGATGGCGGACATTTAATACGAATTCTGTTGAAATGTAATAAACAGCGTAATTATGTAACATCTAATTAAGCATACAAAGTGCGATTTTACATTCATTTTACAAATTTTAATAATTCCGAGAGAATGTACCTTGTGATAAAAGAGCCGGATCGTCGTGGTTTCGCGTCGTTAACGTCCTTAATAAGAGAGATAAGATTTTCTTCTAATTGTTTTGTATCCATATCAATCTAGAACACAACAAATTGGCTGATAATCTTCTCTCCGATTAGGTAGTATAGCATTAAGCAATGTGTTTATAAAATAAAATAAAATTTACCGTTCCAAATGCGACGTCGATGGTGCCGTAAGTTTTTAGATACTCGTGTGGCTTTGCTGTATATTTTATACCTGACAGAAATTTACTTACAGCCGCTTTTACGTCAGTGCTCAAAGTACCTGCTTTAGCACTTGGAAACTTAGTTTTTATAAGTCCTTTGATTAATAACAGATCAGGCAAGATGCTTGGTTCTGCTATAATTATGTCATACTCTTTCAGTGAAATTTGTCCACTCTAGTATAAATATAAATTCCATATTAGCGGCAATGAACAAGTGTAATTTATTAAAAGATACAATCATCATCACGTTTGTTGTATAACACGACGTGATTATATGTTGCAAAAAAATTTGTGTCTTTTATATCTTACTTGAACTTGTTTGATTAAATCTTTGTCACCGGTGAGGTGAGCACCAGTCTGTTTTGCAACTTCCCGCATTTCAGGATCATTGCAAAATACCACTACTTTTCTGTGTTGATCATGAGCAAAAGAATTTGGCATATTTGCTATTTGTGAAAAAGTATCCAGAGTTTTTCCTTTTTTTGGACTCTAACAAAATTTATATAACGAAATTAAGTTTTATATATATAGTAGAATATAAAGTGTCTGAATACAAGTTTTTGGAAAGTAGTTCTAGAAGATAAATATTTAAAAAATCTTTAATGGCTTTTCTAACAGCACTGTTTCTTGAACGAGAAACAAGACCAATATTAGTAAAACTATGTGAAATAAGATAAATAGGTGAACTATATTATATGTATTTAATAATTTTATATATAAATCTATGATATAAATGTAATAAAGAAATAAGTTTTTTTTCTTTCTTTTTACCTGCAAATCCAATTCTATAAGTGCTTTTATCTGAGCATTTGGTAAATTATACATAGTAGGATGATGTGTTTCACGATGACATTGTACAGCTTCTTCAAATGAATAAATCTTCCATTTATAAAGTTTTTCAATCAATACATCATCCTTTGGACGATCTGGTTTTTTGCTGTCATCTAATATAATCTTGTTGAGATCAATTTTTTTCTTTTTAAATTCACTAGTATTACAACAAAGTGTCAATATTAACATAAATGCGCACAATCTACATAGTTATATATAAGTATGTATGTACTAAAAATATTGTTAAATTTAAATCCAAATCTCTGTTAATATTACTTATGTATTAAACATGCTTACACCATCTTGTCTCTCTGATTATGTGGAATAAAGCCCACTTTTTCAACAACCACCTTGATCTTTTTCTTTCTAGCCTTTTCTCTTGTACCTTTTCTAGCAGCATAATTTCGCGTTTGTAAAAAACCAATAGGATAATAATTGAGTCCTGTTACATGTTTATATGTTGAAGAAAGGTTATTTAGTAGCCGACCTGCAAAAGACAGTCGTTGTCAGAGAATTAAAAGAAAAAAAAATGTAAATAAAACAAGTTATTTTATTTAGTAAACAATACAAGCAGAAACGTGATTCGAGAGGTTATGTATAACGTGACTCCCTTCCTAGAAACACATCGTAAACATCTCATTGTTAAGCAAATCAAATACTTAATCCCGTAAACTATTTAATCACAACGCAATTATTTTTCACATCTGTCAATAAAATATTAAAATAGAAGGTAAAAAATACAAGGCATACCGCAAACTGCTGCCGCCATATTTGTCAAACAGATCAGGTGCGATGTGCGACACCGTCCGCTTTGGTTAGAGGCTTGTGCGCTTCAAGTGTCAGTCTGCTTTTACTGCACTTTAAATACATACGCGTGCGCACACATAGTCTCGATCTTTTACATTTTACATATCACATTTGTTGTCACCTACTATACATATTTGGAAATAAGGGATAATAAAACTATTTGATTTCTGATTTGTAAATCAAGATCTTTTTTTTTTATTGAAGAACCACCATTACATATTCTTACTTCGCCTTTTTGCTCTTAATCTTCCTCATATAAAATTCAAGTTCTTTCCCTTCCAAGATATAGCCATCCGCTCTTCCGCATTGACCAGGACGACTCGCTATGCAAGCTAAAAAAAATTGGAGTTCACCATGATCAAGTTATCTCAGCATACAAAACTAAATGTAATTTTAATCTGTTGTTACAATCACTCTTTTGTTTAATAAAACACCAGTGTGATAAAACTCAAAATGCTGATCTATTTCATGAGAATCTAAAAAAGAAAAATTTGTAAACGTACCAAGAACACGACCTGTTGCAAATTGTTCTTCTAAAGCAATCTCAACTTTGGCAAATCGCTGCCTAGCTTTGTATTTAGATTCTGTTTTTTTCGAACGTTTTTTGCTCAATACCTCTTCTTCAGCTTCTGTCTATCAAACAATTTTGCATTCCGTATATAAATTTTATGTACAAACTTTTGAAAAAAAAAACTTTCTATGTTTTTGAATAGTATTTGAAATTTCTCACCAATTTAGCACCCCTCTTTCTGCCAAGAGGAAGCACATAATGACCCTCATACCACTGTCTAAATGGTGTGGCATCAATGGTGACAATAGCGTTCTTCACCAGAGTCTTAGTTCGTACCAACTCATTGTTGGATGCGTTGTAAACAACATCAATAATACGAGTTTTTCGGGTAGTACATTCAGAACCCCAGGAAAAGTTACCTGTATCCAATCTGAGGGCTCTGTATTTCTTATTGCCTCCCCGCGTACGAACCTAGTACATAGGAAGATGTATTTATAACCAGGTTTAAAACATTAAGTACGATGTTGTATTCAAAGTAAATATCAGTACGCTGTGAGATTAATTAATCATGGCAGTCAGAGTAGGTAAGATGTTCATCATTTTATAATATTATGACATTGGTATAAAGCATATATATGTATATTATAATATTTTTATATGTATATTACAATATTTTGTAAGAACAAATTTGTATTATCAAAAAATACGTAATTACAAATATTCTGTATTATTCTTCAATATAAAGTATTTCAATATTTCCATAAATTTTATAAGTTTACAAAACCAATGTTCACAATTAATGTTTCATAATTAATTTATAAGCCATAAAACTCATTATTCACTTACAGTATGAATCCTCTGCGGTCCAAGTTTGGTGTTTGCAGCTGGACGACCTAATTCGAATTTCCTCTTCTTCCTGATGGGCTTTCTCTTTCCACCAGTAGCTCTTCTCTTATGCCAATGGTCTCTTGATATGCCTACAACACAACACTGATTTAAATACAGCAACTTGCACATACCCCTCACAGGAGTTAACCTATTTGAACAGTATGAATGTTGATAATGCAAATTTATCTTAGTTTTGTCTGTAGATACAAATTTGTTTGCAAATACATTGTTTACATAACATTATAAATTTGTCAATAAAATAGTACTTATTGCTAATAAACACGCATGGACATCACGATAACCAAAAATCACACGACCATGAGTGACAATATCCGACAAAACGTTTTACGGACTGAGGATGCAAAAATATTTCTCTATCAAAGAAATAACAAGATTCAATTCATCCGTTGCACATATTTTATCGCAATATCGCAAGAAATAAACGTGGATTTGGATGGATAAAATTAAATTTTTGTAACATCTCAATCTTACCCATTTTGCTACCCGGATCGGCGACAAAAAAGACACGGAAACTCCGCACACTAGACGATGTAAACTAAACCACAGATATTCGACCTGCAACAACGACCTCTCTAGGCTCTGATTGAGGTCACCAATCAAGATCGAGGGATCTTGGTTATTCTTGCTCTGATTGGTCAATTCACACTTCCATCCGACGCGTGGAGTTTTGAAATGCGGTCTTAAGCAACGCACTCCCCTCCTATGCCGATTGATCGTTACCTGACGATTGGCACCGGAACAAACATCCCTGCGCAAACGACGCCAACAAATACACACATAGAAACATTTGGAACAATTCGTTTTCCGACACTGCATTGTGCTTATATTATGCGCTGCAAGCTATCGTTAAGAAGCAGCGAGAAGTGTTACATCGGATTTGGAATGTCCTTTTTTTCGATTAGTACATCAATGAAATTCGAGTGTCCGAGGAGGATAGTACGTTGGCGCGCGAGCGACAGAGCAATATCTATTTTCCTTGAGCCCGGAATTTCAACATAGGTAATTTGTTTTTTTTTTTTTGCGGTGACGTCTGTTGGTTCTTTTCGGATCTCAAAATGCGAGTGAAAATACGATAATTCGCGTCGACGCGTTGTTCTACCTGAAAAATGTGCGAGATCAGTGATAAAATAAACACATCGCCTTCAATCAAAACTGTGAATTTTCTCGCGAATTCTCCATGAAGCGGTGTAACCTTCAAAACCCATCAGGCTTTGTTTTAATCATCACTTCGAAGCGACTCTCTTTCTAACATAAAACAACAATTCAGACCAACATCGTTGCAGATGGCTCGCTCTGCTCCAGTCGTGCCGTATTCGAAATGGCTCGCCGCTCGATTGCGATTTACTGCACATATCTTCATCATTTGTTGCTCGCACACAAAATTTTTTTATAAATAATAATTTCGAGTGTATATCTGTTTATCCCCCCTGCTGTGTGATTTATAAGTAATTAATTAATTCGTTTGTGTTCCAACAGTGCAACCATGAATACAACATTGAATACTGTGAGCACCAGTGGTGACAAACGTCTGTCAGAAACAACTGTACAAACTGTGGCACAGAACTTAACTACAATGCAGAATGTACAAAGTGTGCAAAATGTACAAAGTGTGGTGCAAAGTAATATACAGAGTATTCAGCCAACTCAGACTATTGGATCGGTAGGAACACCAAGTAGTCTAGTAGGCAAATCAGTATCCTTGGATATGAATCCTAAACTGTCCTTAATGAAGCCTGTGGTACCTTCTGGCAGTAGTTCGTCTACAGAAACTAGTAAAATAACAACGGTAATTATATTAAATCTTTATAATAGTAAAGAAAATTACACATATAGTTATGTGTTAGTGTCATATCAGTAAATTTTATTTGTATATTTAAAAACTTTTCTTCTTTTTAAATATTTTATTATGTTAGCTAGAGCAAGTTTGCAGCAATAAGTTTGTTAATTCCATTGTGTTTCTAGTTATGTTCCATAGGACCTACAGTAAAAATAATATCGCCAATGTTAAGTACTGTGGAAAGACAAAATCAACCACAACCACAACAATTGACACAGACAGTCAGCATGCCAGCCACATACCATGTACCACGAGGACCAGCGGCAGTTGCTAATATTTCTGCACCCAGATCAACAACAGTTGCCACTCCTATGGTCAGAGCAAGTGCAGGACAAACTGTGCCTACTACAAGACCAAGGTATAAATACATTGCATGTTTGATAAAATTAATTTTTATTTAACTAGTTACTAATAAAATTAATGTGCGCTTTTGAAAAAAAAATCATTTCTATGTGTAAAAATATATTTGCAAAATTGTTTTAACACATTGCAAACAACGGGGACTGTTACTGTTTTTACAAATTTCATGTTTCTAAATCTCATATTTCAATACAGGAATGGCCCCAGACACTATAAGCAATGTTGCTACACCAGAAAGGCACGTGTTAAAAACGACTTTTATTGGTATTTGTATATATGATATACGAAAGCAAGAAAAAAAAATTAAAATCGCTATTTTTAATCCATGAAATCACTTCACAACGTATTAAATATAACAAAAATTTGAAAATTTCCATACACATCTTGATTTGTCAAACAGTAGTACACCAATATCAAATCCCCAATGGCAATCTAAAACAACATCCGTCGTGTATGCGCAACCACAAAGGCATCCTGCACCTCCACTCGGAGTCAGCAGAGTCTCCAGGCCGCCATCTGCCACGGTTTATTCCGGACAACAGCAGCGGCTAATTACACCAACCAATCAAGGGAGATCTGTTCAAGCCACCATGGTCACTGGTAGTCCGTCCAGATTGATAACTCCCATTCTGCAAACAAGCAGTAATATTACACGACTTCCAGTTGCACAAAATAGACCGCCAACGCCGCAAGTAGTAACCGTGTCGCAGACTTCACAACCCGGAAAATCAACGGCGCAGACCATTCAGGTATATTTATAAGCAATAAATTTTATGTAAAAATTATAGAAAGAGAGAAAAAATGAAGATATAGCTTAGTTGCAGTATAAAACTAAAATCCGTGCAATTTAACTCAATAAAAATTCGATTTTGAAATTTTTCAGCCTAACCAGACCAGCAGACCTCTCACTACGACGGGTACTACGAAACGTATAACTGTGTCAACACCCATGGTGGAAACAGCAAGAATTGGTAGCATGACTTCGGTTACGGTCGGTTCTGTGGAATCAGTAGGACGGCCGTTATCGATTAATACAGTAGCTGGACCATCGACTGGCACAGTTAGCCATATTGTTATTCCTTCGCAACAAGTGAGTTTGAGCCGATAATGAACAAACATAATAACGCCTATGTCTTTTTCTCATTACCGTTTGTATCTTTCTTTAGTCTGACTCTCGTTTTTCTTATCCAATGTCCTAGCCACCGTCGTTATTTGTTTTTTTTTTTTTTTTTTTTTCATTAACGCCTGGCTGTTGTTTGCACCCAACTTTGTGTTTTTCTCGCATATATCGTATGCGGTAAATTACATATATAGAAAAAAGACCTTTATTTGACAAGTAAACTAATTCAATAGGTTCAACAGCAACAAGGTGCGCCGCGCGTCCAAACCGTCACATCTCTGTCATCTCTGAGTACAGTGTCTCAAGTAATCACAACCACTGCGAATACACAATCGAACGCGATGCGTATATTGCAAACAGCTCCAACTACAGTTGCTAAGATCGCCGGGATGTCCTTACACTCTCTACCTATCGTACCAGTGAGAACTGCACCGGCGCCGGTCAAGGCTACTGCCGCACAACCTCAGAATATTGGTCAGACCGTCCAGATCAAGCCAGCGCAGCAAGCCAGTTTACGCGTGTCATCTACCAACAGCAGCACCGTTACCAGTTCCACCCAGCCAGTTCAAGCGACGTATATACATCCGCCTCATACTACTACGTATTATTCTTTTGACGCTACAGGTAAACCATTATTTGAAGCAGATAGAGTGCACACCATTGTTTTCTGCAGTTTTTTCCTTGTAATAAAAAATTGCGTTATATATTTAGGCATCAAGCTTTTTAGACTGTGTGGGTAACATGCAAAAAGTAGTGATTTAGAACCGGTTATTATCGGGTGAGAACAATATGCAATTATGGCGTTTTAAATGTTGAGGACTGATGTTATATTTTATCTTTCAGGAACGTACTCGTATCGACAAACTTCAGTGCAGCCGGTAAGATTAGTCGTCGACCCGGGATACGAGGAAGCCCATAACGTTAAACCTAATGCGTCTCCAAGACCGAGCATCTTACGAAAAAGAGATCACGACAATTCGCCAATCAAAAGTAATGATAATAAATATCTTAAAACGTGTGCGAAGTAACACGCAAAGTGTAGCAACATGTACAGATTATAATTTTTTTACTTATATCACACACAGGTGCGGCTAAAAATCTCGTTCCTGTCTTAACATCTCTACCGTCGTCGAATAGATCAATATCCAGTCCACCGTGTTCACCGAAAGGGGATCAAGATGGAGGTGGATGTCAAAGTTCCGGTTCAACTACGGTATCCGCTACGTCTTCACCGGGTCTTGATGAAGAGCTCGAGCAATCTAGGATTACTATTAATCCCACTATCGAACTTTCACCTCGTAAAAAACCTCGTAAACAACAACTTACAGCTTTAGAATTGACCGAATCTAGATGCGTGGAAGAAGAAATGCAATTTATCACGGAAGAGAAAATAAAGAAGGAAATAAAAGAAGAAGCAAAAGAGAAGTCTGACAAGAGGCAACCTCTAAATGTTCAAAGTACGGATATGAAGTCTCAGCAATCGGAAATTACGATAAGGACTCGGCCTGTGCCAAGTTTAATAGGTATATATGTACAATATAAAAATAGATATATATATATATATATATATATATAAAAAAAAATTATTTTTGTTGTACATTTTACTTTTCATATTTTTGACCGTTTGCTACACTTTCTATAATTGATCTCTCACATGTTTTTTTCCCAATTATTTTCAGATCCTTCGTGGAAAAAAGGAATAGTCAGATTGCATCATTTTAGAAGACCAAGTGACGTTCGGCCTCGTGAAGAGAGAAGACCGACAGTCGCTGAACTGGCGCAACAAAAATATGTATTACAGAAACTGAACGGATGGAAAGTTTATCATCTCACCGCACAAATGGAAGATATTGCTGACCTTGAGAAACAGGTATGCGTATGTTTAAAAATTCCAAAAGTAAACAAACAAATTTTTTTTTAATAATTAACAAGAACAAAAAGAAAAAATTCTCTTAAGAGACATCAGCAAGTCTGTACATTATCGTTGCGCAGAATTATTTTCTTAATTCAACTTAAAGCTTTTTTGCGTTATGGACGTTTATAGGATGGATCTTATACGTACACAAGTATGAAAGTAAAATAATATTTTTGTGTGTTGTGTGTTCGAAGGTGCACGAGAAATTGAAAACGACGTTAATGTTGTTGGAATCGCAGCAAACAGCTAAAAGCAGACATAATAACGATCTTGAACGCGTGAACGAATTAATCAAAGGAAACATGCAACGCAGTAATTTAATCAGCGAAGGAATGAATGAAGCGCGCACACAACTCGTCGCCATATTTCAACATAAGGGTCCTATTACTGATCTTTTGCAACGTTGTGGTAATAAACGAGCCCAGAAAAAGAAGGACAAATAAATTGTTCTATTAAAAAAAAAAAAAAGAAAAAGAGAAAGAGAAAAAATAACTGTCAGAAACTTTAAGTGTGGCAGTAAAGTTTACAGCCCAATTATTTTTATCTATCTTACAAATTCTATGTAGGGACAAATAAATGGTTTTATAAGTCTACAAGATCATATAAGAATGTCTACTATATATATATATATATATATTACATATATTGATGTTTATAATTTTAGTACATAAATTTATTTTTTATTTTAATATAATGCTTTTTATTTCTACTATCAAATGTCTTTCTACTCATTTAATTTCAATCAATCTCCGATTAATTTGTACACACACTAATGTATATGTTTGTTCTACAGACAGAACATGACTTCTTTGGAAACAAAAATAGAGTATCCAATGCAACAAAGATAGAATTCCGCTATCCTTTTTATTTGTACTGTTTGTGTCGTTGTCAAGGAGATAACAAGTCTTGAATCTTGGTTATGTACGAGACAATGAACTTCAATCAAAAAAATATATGTACATACTGATTTCGCAAAGTGTATTTTGTAAAGTTCAACAAATCACAAGACGCAAAATGTGGTGGGGATACAGTCCACCTCAAGATTTACAAACTGAAGTTATTCAAACAGAAGATCAGCTCTCTAACAATCTTGAAGTATTGATTGTAGGTGCTGGTGATGCACGACATATCGTCAAGACAATAGCATCATCTTACATCCATTCTGATCGAACTGTTACATATCACGTTATTGAACCGACTTTGGAACAAGTTTGTAGATCAATGCTTTTATTAAATGTTTGCTTAGAGAAAGATTTAGGTATGTAAAGAACACAAGAGTTTATTTTAACATAAGCTCTAAAACAAAGTCATATACATTTATACAATTAATATGCTAAAGGACTACAGGAAGCAACACGATACTACTTGGAGATATTAGGAAACACTTTGTTGAGACCAGCCACAGCAAAATATTTAGCAAAAACTGCCAAAAAACTAATTGACATTCCAACTCAGACTGTTAATTGTCCATGGTTATCATTAGAAAACTTTAAGTATAAGGACAGAGATAAACTGGAAAGCATTTTTAAGTAAGTTGAAGAATACGAAGGTACAACAAAAACACAGTAGCTGATATCTTATGTTGAGCATTTTCTAAGATTCTGGACACGCGCAACATGCGAAGGAGTTCCTATTGTGAACTATTGGGATCGCAGAATTAGAAATTCATTGAAAACAAGATATGATTATAGAGAAGGTGTCTTTGATTGGGATTATCATATGATTTTAAAATCCAGATGTATCACTAATCTTACTCTACAAGAATATAGGTATGTTTAGCGAACAGAAAATGTAGATGTATGCTTTTATTATAAAATAACGATACATGGTATTCTTTGGGTGATAAAAACTTTATAAATCTCAAACTCTCGAAATTTTTAATTGTGTAAAAGCAAATTATTATAATTAGATTTTGGAGAAATAATGGAATAGCATTTACATGGCTTGAGGGTGAACCGGTTAGAAGCAATCCAACATTATTAAGCAATATAATACAACATGGACCTGGTTTCTTACATTATGCATATTTGGGAGATATTGTAAATGGTCCGTTTTTTACTTGGGCTGCAATGGAAGGAAAAGAAAATAAAAAGTATAGCATTTCTGACACAGATAAATATAACATTCTTTATTCAAATCAATTTTAAATCGAACATGTCAAAGGCTTAGAGCAACTGATATCGCTGAACGAGAAGTAATGCGTGTGATTCATGAAATAAGAACTAAGGAGCCATTGTGCGAAGACTACGTCGGTGCTCACAGAGATGCTTCTATTCTCAACGGTATTATAATAACTGAAATGCCAGACACCGAAATGGAAAATGAATCATGGACAAAAGTTGAGAATAAACCTGACAAACTGGCTAATGAAAAGATTACTTGGGTGGATATACCAAATCACAAGGTGCATTTTGTATACATACGTTGAACCGATGAATGTGTACAACAGTTTGTGTACAACGGTTTCGTTTTTAGATAATCTTTCATCCTGCAACATCTCTGGAAACTCTCAAGTCTAAGAGCGACTATGCAAATAGATTTCATCTGATTTGGATAGCACACAACATGACAAAGCAGATTGCGAATCTGACTCCGTTGGCGTCAACAGGCGCGTCAGTGATTATAGAGTTGCGTAAACATATGGTAGAACTACGCAAAGAGGATTTACAAACATTCAACAAAGAACTAAGAGAGATCACGCAAGAAAGCGGGCTTTGTTTACTATCTGATTTTGATTCAAACGAGCATGTTATTGCTCGTTTCAGGAAGATTTAAGACATCAAATGGTATGGCTTGGTAAATATTAGAAATATGTATATAAAGCTGTTTAATCGATCTAAAATAAAAAGTCCCACTCTTTAAGGTACTGTTGTACTATAAATATAGTACGACTTTTTGAAGTATATATAAACAATTGATTAAAATCTATTCCGCAAATATTAACAGTAAATAATTAATACATTTTTTTTATGTATTTTATTTCTGCTCTTAGTACTTCTACAAACAAATCAAAGAAAGTATATGAAAAATCTTTCAATGTCAATAAAATGTCAACAAATGTATACAAAATGTTTAAAGATATCTGTACATGCGCGCGTCGTCTTCTATGTTATATTCAACTCATTATCTAATTTTTCGGTTACTTCGGTTATTTCGGTTACTTCGGTTACTTCCGATACTTCTGCACTTTTCTCTACTTCTTCGTCCTCTTCTTCAGATTCGGTTTCGGTATCAGTTTCTGGGAAATCTGGAAGTGCTGATAAAACCAAAATAAATGACATTAAAAAAAGAGTACAAAAAATAATCGTAAACCAATGATCACCAAGAATTCTTACCAAGTCTGTCTATTTTCTCTTGCCAGGCATCCTTCAGAAACTTTTCTTGTACCGCTACCACTTCTTCCACATTTGCGCAACAAGCATACTTCTCCAGTAATTCGCCATTTAAGTTTAAGAATGCGTGACCCCATCGAAACTTGTCGAGATAAAGTCTCGCCTCGTCAGGAAATCCTGTTATAATTAAAGTAGCCGCAATAGCCTCCACACAACTCAATTTACATGGTTTTCCAAAATTGACCGGATTGGCAGCGACCAGAAACGGCAGTATACGAGGATGCGGCGTTTTCATTTTGCCAAAAGGAGTGTCGTCAATGCGCGCCCAACTACAATCAACAACAGCACAGCCAAACCTCTCCACGATATCTCGATCACTCGGGGTTACGCACTGCAATGAAATTAATTTTCCTGAAGAAAATTTCTGAAACTACCGCTGTCTGCGCCGTCGCTTTTTTTTCTGTCATCAGATACCTTGTCACCGATCGGAGTGAGACACAATCCTGGAAAACGGGCGCCCAGGCGAAGTATCTTGATCATATTTTGCCTCACTAATTTCCTGCCGGTGCATTTTTTGGGATCGCAGTGTTGCACGTCCCACATTGCCACGCGAAAGGGTAACGACCATTTGTTTGTCGGTTCTGCAAGGTTCAATTCCAGTCCCGATGATCGAATTACAAAATTACGAATTTCATGAAATTCTTTTAATTTTTTTCTAACCTGTTGTCTCATCGTTCTCTTTATCCGATTCTTCCGATTCTCTATCCCTTCTTTGATGATACATCTGCTCCTTGTTAAGAACATGCCGAGGTCGTCTCTGCAATAATTTATTCTTATCTTTTTTCCTTCGTCCTGACATTTTTTCAGATATATATGTTTAGTGTTTTGATGGTCTCCCAGCCGTTACAACCTGATCAGATGAGTGTGCGGATATAACAGGATATAAGAGATTGGATTTGTTCAACTCCTAGCGCAAAATTGCGCAAAATAATGAGCGTAAACACGCTAAATTACAGCTTGAATGTTTTCTATAAAATAGTTTCTTTCAGATTTTTATGTTGGTTGTACTGGCTCTTGTAAATCGATTACGAACGACTGATATCGATATTCCGTGACTGGGGGGATAAGAGCGTGGCCAATAGACCGGCCATATAGACACACCACAAACGCCACGTCTATATTGCGCGTACCGACCATACTTGGCGCGCCGGTATCGACAAAAGTACCTGTCATTCAATAGTCAATACCTTAGCTCACAGATACATAGCGTTGTCGAGGACGCCTCGAAGATGACTCGTGCTCTCGCGGGCGCGGTAATATTCGTTCTCGCGTTCTGCGTGTTTACGCATGTACGCACCAGCCTTGCCGCCGCCGACCTCGTGGATTCGGATCTGCTCGTCAGAAATGTCGAGCGGCACATCGACCTGCATTCCCAGCTGACCAAAACGAACACCCGCGTGGTGCTGGACAACAACAAGGACCGCGCGATCCGGAGCTTTCTCTTCTGTCTGGACGGCGCTCAGAAGCAGTCCCTCAGCTACATTGCGGCTCACGTCGAACCCGGTAAGCTCGAGCTCAAGGTGACGGAGACGAAGATAAAGGAGCACGGCGATAAGGCTTTCTACACCGTCGATCTCGGCAACAACTTGGCGCCACGTCGCACTCTCACCATCGACATAGAGACGATACACACGCACGAACTGGTGCCCCATCCCAAGGAGATCGCTCAGCAAGAGAAGCAGTTGGTTAAGTATATAGGAAACGTATATGCTTTCTTACCTTACACCGTTATGAAACAGACCACGTACGTGGCGTTACCGTCGCGCAACATCGAGAACTATACCAAAATTAAACCAGTCTCCCAGACTGGTTCTTCCATAACTTACGGACCGTTTGAGAAACAGTCGCCTTTCGCTTACGAGGAACTGATGGTACACTTCGAGAACAATAACAAGTTTCTTACAGTCACGAAGCTTCAGAGAACCATTGAGATTTCTCACTGGGGTAACATAGCCGTCGAGGAGAACATTGATCTCCTGCATACCGGCGCCTTGCTCAAGGGACCCTTCTCTCGTTACGAGTACGCCCGAGAGTCCAAATCCGGACAGGCCAGTATTCAGAGTTTCGATACCATCTTACCCGCTGCCGCTTCCGACATTTATTACAGAGATGAGATTGGCAACATTTCCACGTCGCACACTCGCATCAAGAAGGACTCGGTTGAGGTGAATCTGAGACCGAGATTTCCGTTGTTCGGCGGTTGGAAGACACGTTACACCATCGGATACAACGTGCCCAGTTACGAGTATCTGTTTCACTCCGGTGATCAGTATACTCTCGAGATGAGGTTGCTGGATCACATTTTCGACGATATGGTTGTGGACGAAATGGTTCTGAAGATCATTCTGCCGGAAGGTTCGCGGAACTTGCAGCTGGAACTGCCGTATCCCGCTACTCGTTTGTCGGATTCCTTACACTACACGTATCTGGACGTCACCGGGCGTCCGGTGGTGTCCGTCACAAAGAAGAACCTCGTGGAGAATCATATTCAAAACTTCAGATTCAAATACACATTCCCGCGTTTGCTGATGTTGCAGGAGCCGCTGCTGGTCGCGGTGGCGCTGTACCTGCTGTTCCTATTAGTCATAACGTACGTAAGACTGGACTTTTCCATTGACAAGGACGAGGCGTCGGAGAGCAAATTGAGGATCGCCGGGCAGTGCGAGAAGATACTCGCCGCTCAGGATCGCCGGGTCACATCGTACAACGAGCTGGACGATCAGCTGGCCTATCTCAAGACAAACAAGGACGCGAACGCGTTTCTGTCCGCGGTGAAGAGCATCAATCAGGAATACAAGGCCGCCACGAATGCGCTCAACGAGATCGCGCAGAAACTGAAGAGCGAGTCTGGCGACGTGTACGACCGCGTTCAGGAGCTGCAAAAGTACGATCGCTCCCTGAAAGAGCTGTACAACCAGCAGCAGGCGTTGTACGTGGACAAACTGGTCCCGGGCAAGATTGGCCGTCAGCAGTTCGTCGAGGCGGAGTCGGCGATCGCCAAGAAGAAGGAGGAGTGCATCGAGAAGATCAACACGATTGTGAAGTCGCTCCAGTAGTAGTCGCATTCCGCGCGAACGGACTTTAAAGAAAAAAAATAAAAATAAATAAATAAAACACAAAATTATTTGAGAGAACAACGATGGTGCATTTTGCATTACAATAATACAAGTTCTCTGTCGCCGCGTGTCTCTGTTGATATTCCATCCTCTCTCTCAGTCATGTGAATAAAAAAGGATTCCATATGTTTGTAAACACACACACGCATCGAGTCATAAGAACTCATTATTACATTGTAAATTAAGATTTTTAATAATAAATGTATAGGAAAAAGGAACGCATGTTTTTGTTGTACTTTGTCTGAGTTGTTTCTATAAATAAAGAGTTTATAAGATTGTGTAAGACGTATCACTATCTGCCTTTTCAATGTGTATATATATAAATTTTTTTCTTTTCTTTCTCTTTCAATATATACATATATATGTATATCTAAGAAAATCTTTCTAAAGGCAATAAACTTATAAATAAAAAAATTGAAAAACCGAGAAAACATTTTTTCGAACTATATAATTGCGGTCATAGTTTTATGCGAGAAAGATAAATTTTATATCGGAAGTATATATCATATATATATANTATATATATATATATATATATATATCATATCTGGATGTTTTTCTATTCTTCTTTAATCTCAAACGAAAGAGCCATGATTTGTGTGTTCAATACAATCGTAATTGCAATGAGATCGATGCTATGCGACAGTAAGGATCGCGTCGACACGGTCATTACTGCGCATGAAGGCGCAACGTCAGTCCACCAACGAGCATCTGTTTCATCCATGTGTCAATTCGCCTAGCCGGTTGAACACAACGGACACCTGCTAACCTCTATTTTTTTTCATCGGGCGATACCTGATCAAACAACAGCCGCATCGGAGCGTGCGAATGCTAAGAGCTACAATGACCAATTTGCGGAAATTCATAGGTAAATACACACACACACATACGATTGCGCGTTCAGCGACATACCTGCTCCATGATTTTGTCTGAAACGCTACCTCGCGTGTAGGTTATACGACGATACAATTGAGAAAAAATCGTTTCTAAACGATAATTTATGAGTTGTAAATTTGTCCAACACATTCGAATTTGTTCGTAAAATTTTCGCAATATTTTTCGAATCTCCGAGCTTGAGAAATGTGTGTTGAACAGCTACATCTCGAAAGATTGCGTATCTTATCGTATACATACGTAAGAAATATCTTGTACAAAATTGATGTAACATGTTGGTTTTAACAATCAGTAAGTTATTTATTGTTGTTTCACGATTTCAGATATTGGCGCCAATTTAACAGATGCTATGTATCAGGGAATTTATCACGGGAATCAAAAACACGAGCCAGATCTGGACAAAGTTTTAGAACGAAGTTGGAACAACAATCTCTCAAAAATCATCATTACAGCTGGTAATTTAGAAGAGAGCAAGAAGGCTCTTGAAATAGCAAAAACTGATGGCAAGTATTGTATTTTTCATGCATCTTGCAAATTTCCCAATACTACTGTCATTTATCTGCTTTTATGATTTTAAGAATTTCTTCGAATTTTTCTCTCTAACAAGCAACTGATATTGTGTTATGTTTATCAACAAATTGTAGACAGGCTATACTCGACAGTTGGTTGTCATCCGACTCGTTGCAACGAGTTCGAAGACAGTGGCGATCCCGAGGAATACCTCAAGTCTTTGACCGATCTGGCGCTAAACAACAAGGAAAAAGTTGTCGCCATCGGCGAGATAGGTCTGGATTACGACAGGCTAGAATTCTGTCCCAAAGAAACGCAAAAAAAGTATTTCGAGATGCAACTGTCGCTGTGTTCCACGCTAAAACTGCCGCTTTTTCTGCACTGTCGCAACGCCTGCGACGACTTGGTGCAGATTCTGAGAAAGCACAAAAACAAGCTGACGCCGGGCGTCGTGCACTCTTTCGACGGCAATCCAGAGGACGCGAATTCTATTCTACAGTTAGGCTTATACATCGGTATTAACGGATGGTAGGATAGTGGCAACTTCCGCTCGAGAAACTATTGAGAGCCAAGAAATATAAATCTCGTTTTTTCTTTTTTCAGCTCTCTGAAAACGGAGGAGAACCTCTTTGCCGTCACTACTGTTCCCTCGGACAGGCTCATGATAGAAACCGATTGTCCGTGGTGCGACATCAGGCCGACGCACGCGTCCGCGAATGACGTGATCACGCACTTCCCGTCGGTGAAGAAAGAAAAGTGGCAACCGGACCGCATGGTCAAAGGACGAAACGAGCCCTGCACAATAGTGTGAGTACTACTTCGCGTTCGATTTTGACACAAAGAGTGACGGTGATAACGGGAATCATAAAACAAGCGAAGATACAACATATCGCGCAGTTTTTTAAATATATAAATCACGTTTGATTCGCAATTGCAGTCAAATATTGGAAGTCTTGGCGCGAATCAGAGACGAGGAAGAGGAATACCTGTGCAATCAGATCTACAAGAACACAATGAAGCTCTTCTTCCCGCACGAATTATAGTGTGTTGCAAATACTGCAAAACAGATAAACGGACTTTGAGTGTGACATTTCCGAGAAGACGCACTCAGGAAGCAATCAGGGATAAAAGCTGTGAAAAAAAAAAAAAAAAAAAAAAAAAAAAAAAAGCGGAAAGCCGAGGAAAGAAANCTGCAAAACAGATAAACGGACTTTGAGTGTGAC